GTAGAGTAGGGATCAGGCGGGGACACACAGGGCTTCTGGCCTAGTGGCACTTAGAGGCATCTTCTCTCCCCCATTCCCATCCACAGACCCTGGGGGCAACCCATAGGGCTGAGAACACCTTGTAGGTATGCAGGATGTGGGTTTGGGAGGGGTCCCTGCATCCCCCAGAGGGCCTCGAAGAGGGGTTTGACTCTTACCTCGGGCCTGTCTGGCAGGTCCAGCCCTTGCAGCCTGACATCTCTCAGAGGACTCTGACTCAATGATACATTTTTTTAGGGACTGACTCAAGAGGCAGGGCAGGGTGATTCGTGCTGTTCAGAGCCCCTCCTGAGCGGATCCTGCAAAGAGGCCAGGAAAACCAAGACCAGCCCAGCCTTTGGCCAGACTCACAGGAGAACATCTTTAATGTTCCGGGACTGTGAAGTACCTCGCATCTCCCAGAGAAAGGCTTTAAACCGGCACCTCTTCTTTTATCTGAGGAGTCGGAAGTCTCTCTAGGCAACACCTGAGGCACGTCTGTTTGTGGCCAACCTTGGTCCACAGAGCCCAGGGTCTGGCCAGAGGCCCTCTGTCCCCTCCCTGAGTCCCTTTTCCAGGAGGAGCGCTTACGTTTTTTACACACTGTCAGGCACCTGAAAACTCCTGGGAGGTCACATCCACCCTCCACAGTCTCCGGAGCCCAGGTAGGAAGCCGGGCAGTGGGCCAGCCAGGCACCCCAGGCCAGAGTGCCCTTTGCTCCCATCTGCAAGACAGAGCAGGGTCTGTGTCAAGAACACGCCACCCAGTTACCTGGTCAGCCTCTCTCCTCACCCCAGTTTCAGACGTAGAAAGCAAGGCTCAGGGAGATGACAACCTTCGAGAACATGGGCTGGGGAGGGCTGGGGAAGAGGGTCAGAGGGATGGAGGGGAGGGAAGGGCATGGACTTGGTGTGGGCTGACGACCCAGAGACACACCTAGCTCCTGGCTGGTCCCTTGCCGGGACCCGCCCTAGCCCCTGTGGCCTTAGGGCAATGTGAGTTTCCGTCAGTGTGACTTAGCTGTGAAGGGACAGGCGAGTGGAGGGGTCCCCATGCAGGAAGCATCTATGACTGTTTCCAGGCGAGTTTCAGAACCGAGGAAGCTCCCCACAGCTGACCTAGATGCCACGGCAGGTGGGGTGCTACCCCTCACAAACGGACAGACACCCGCACAGAGAGAGGCCTTTCCCCTTCTCTGCTCCAAAAGCATGTACGAAGTCACTGCCCAGCCCAGGAGAGGCACCCTCACCAGCCCACGGGGCTCTTCAACCACAGTCGAAGCCGTCTCCCTCAGGGAAGGACCCGAAAGCCAGCTGCCAAGCCAGCCCTAATCCATGTCCATGCTGCAGTCCCTCGGACAGTCACGCCATGAATGGTCTCTTTTGTGTCTTTAGGCTCATTATCATCCAAACAAGGTGAGATTAATGTAATTTGGGATATTTATGCTCATTTTGCTATTTCAGTTTTTGTAAATGAAAGGACATCTCCTAAGAACAGCGATTAGTATTCATAACTAAGGCAGTCACAAGGTAATCTCCACATAATTTAGTCTTACTTAAAAATCTCATAACCATGAAAAGGGAGAGAAGAAAAGAGCATTTGCTTTCTCCTTTTGAAACTAGTTCTGCTGTGACGATCACTGTTTGCAAGATAGTCCGTTATCGAGGAAGAGATTTAAAGATTATCTTAAGATGTTCCCTTTCCCCGAGAAACAGTCTTTAGGGAAAAAAAAAAAAAAAAAAAGGACATATTTTCACCAGGAATAAAATGTTCAGGAAAAAAAGTTCTTAAAAACAGAATAGTGAAGATAGGCAGTAGAGACTTTGTCACTCTCAAGGCGGCCTAGGTGGGGGTCAGCAGGGGGCCCATTAGGAAGCCAGGGCCATCCTCTGCCAGCTCCGCTCCAGCAATTCCAAATGCAAACAGTAGCTTTGAGACAGGGTCCAAGCCGCTGCGGCCTCACATGTCCAAAGGCCTGGCCTACTTTGCCAGGTTGCATGCATGGCTTGCTGGAGTTTTGTCCAGGCTGACTTCTCTGCAGTGGGTCTGAAATACAGTCATTTGGTTCCTTTGGATGCTTTTTGGATTGTTTTCCCCTTTCCTGTTTCCACCCTTGGTGACCTGGCTGAGTCTGGACAGATGCTGGGCGTGACCAGACGCTTGGCTGGGCCTTGGCAGGGATGGTGGAGACGAGGAGAAGTAGGTGTGAGAGGTCAGCATGGGCCTAGAGGTGGTTCAGGGAACCTTGCTGGTGGTGGGCGGAGGGTGTGCTCAGGGTGGCTGGAGGTGCTGCTTCCCAGCCTCAGAGGAAGTGTGTATG